ACTCAGGAGGCTGGGATTACAGACACGCGCCACCATGCCCAGCTAATTTTTTGTAGCTTTAGTAGAGACGGGGTTTCACCATGTTGACCAGGATGGTCTCGATCTCTTGACCTCGTGATCCACCCGCCTCGGCCTCCCAAAGTGCTGGGATTACAGGCTTGAGCCACCGCGCCCGGCCCTGTATAGTTATCTTTTGGTGCAATTAGGGCGTCATTTATAATAGGCAAAATATGACTAAGCATAATATTTTTCTTTTTTTTTTTTTTTTCTTCAGACAGAGTCATGCTCTATCACCCATGATGGAGTGCAGTGGCATAATCCTGACTCAATGCAGCCTCCACCTCCTGGGTTCAAGAGATTCTCCTGCCCCAGCCTGTAGTTCTCTGGGACTACAGGCATGCACCACTATGCCTGGCTAATTTTTTGTATTTTGAGTAGAGATGGGGTTTCGCCATGTTGCCCTGACTGGTCTCGAACTCCTGAGCTCAGGAGATCCACCTGCCTCGGCCTCCCAAAATGCTAGGATTATAGCCATGAGCCACCATGCCTGGCCTGACCTATATATTTTAAATAAATTCTTCAGTTTTCAAATGAATACTTCCCAGCACTGATTTTAAAATACCGTCAACCTCCAGTCCTAAATTCTAGCCGTTATTTATTTATTTATCTGTGAACATCTTGCAAACATTAAAAGGAGGTAGAAATTTCAGTCAAAGATTTAATAATTCACATTTGCCACTCTTTTAAGATAAAAAGGTAAAATGCTGTTTTTCAGTTCCATCCCAGTTCTCATTCCTCCCTAGATAAAACACATGGTAGCACATAAGAAAAGACAATGAGGAGTCAACACTGAGTGGCTGAAAAGGCAGCAGAATTCTGGGATTAAAAATAAACAGATCTGGGCCAGGGGCTGTGGCTCATACTTGTAATCCCGGCTCTTTGGGAGGTTTAGGTGGGCGGATCACTTGGGGCCAGGAGTTCAAGGCCAGCTTGGCCAACATGACAAAACCCCGTCTCTACTAAAAATGCAAAATTAGCTGGGCATGGTGTTGTGCACCTGTAACCCCAGGTACTTGGGAGGCTGAGGCAGGAGAATTGCCAGGAGTTAGAGGTTGCGGCGAGCCAAGACTGAGCCACTGCACTCCAGCCTGCGCAACAGAAGGAGATTCCGCCTCTAAATAAATAAATAAATAGGTCTGCGGTGGCCGTATAACACTGTCAATGTAGTAAATGTTGCTGAATTGTACACTTCAATATGGTGGTTTGAGGCCGGACGTGGTGGCTCATGCCTGCAATCCCAGCACTTTGGGAGGCTGAGGTGGGCAGATCACCTGACACCAGCAATTTGAGACCAGCCTGGCCAACCTGGTGAAACCCTGTTTCTACTAAAAATACAAAAAATTAGCTGGGCATGGTGGCAGGTGCCTATAATCCCAGCTACTCAGAGGCTGAAGCATGAGAATTGCTTGAACCCGGGAGGTGGAGGTTGCGGTGAGCCAAGATCACGCCATTGCACTCCAGCCTGGGCAACAGGAGTGAAACTTGGTCTCAAAAAAAAAAAAAAAAAAGGAGATTTGATGTTATATGAATTTTACCTAAATTTTAAAATGCAGAGCTTCTCTATCCAAAGCTGGTGACGGGAAAAAACAAACAGAAAACACTCAGAGGTCATTTCATAACCTCTTGTGTAGGCCTGTTTATGAATAAAGTAGGCTCAATATACCCCTTACAGATGTTCACTGGGCAGATTTTCTATAGCAAGAACTACCAGATTCCTCAAGTAATGTCTTCTTGAATAGGAAAAGTTTCTAATTACTGCCCATTACATCTCTAATGCAGTGCATCTCTTAAACCTTCCAAGGCAGTGATTTATCTTCCTCAGAGTTCACTTATCCTTCTAGAGAAGAAAAGCTCACTATGTTTCCATTAATATTTCCGTAAGTCAATAACATCATTGTTTAAGATAAACAGTGAATTCCAGACAAAGTACATAACACTAACTGGAATTTTTATTCTTGAATCCTGGCTGCTTCTTTTACAAATATTTTGAAGACTAATGAAAACACAATTCCCAAGAATTCAAAGGTTTTAAAATTAACAGTTATAAATAATTTTAGGTATAAAACAGAGTGAAAGGAATCATACCAATTATAGCTATTGCCTCTGTTATTCTCTGTAGTCACAAAAAAGGAAGTGATGATACAGCAAACTGTAAGAAAATTTGATAAAAACCCTTTCATCAGGGAAAAAAACTGGTGTGAAAGCTGCTAAAGGCAAAGTGCTTACTTTCCCAAAAAGGTCCTTAAAACAGCAATGTTAATGACAAAGTTTCACCTTGGAAGAAACCTTCAAGACTATGTATGCAGCTTTATTTTTAAGCACTACATATCTGCATTTTCACTTGGCTTTACACAGTAAGATACCAAAACCATGTATAAACACCCAATGAAATAATTAGTAAGATATGATCCATCTTTTCTAGTTTAATGGGAAGAAGACAAATAGTCTATGCGGCATGCAGGCTGCCAATGAGCTAATATGGTTAAGTTATTAATCTTACAAACTCAGAGAATGAATTTTTGATACTATTTATCTGGCAAATACACATCATGCCTTATGCTGTCTCTGGGTATTCTTGTTTTAAAAGCTCCTTGAAATCAGGAACAGGGCCGTATATATTTTTTTCTTATTGCCCAAAGTACCTGGCATAGACCTTGTTTAAAAGCTAGATGTTTGACTGATTCGTTGAAATGGACACATGATTTAAACAATGCAGCTGTCAATGCGATTTCTTCAAAAGAATCTTGGGTTGGCCTTGTCTCTAAGCAACTGACACATGGATGTTTGAATTCAGGCATAAGTTTTCAATATATGGTACATTCAGAAATTAGCCTTGGCATAGAGGCTCTCAGGCTAAAATTTGCAAGAGCAAACTCATACGATCGTACCTGCTTGAACACTTCTTCATCCTGGTGAGTGGTTCTCACCAGTTCCTGAATGAAGCCATATGGGAGATTCCTACACAGCATATACGGCACTAGGAAGGACGGCTGCTGCAAGGACCTGTGGACCCATGAACATTAGGGACGGTGATGAAGTCAACTCACTACAGAATCACGTGAAATGTCATGTCAGCAACAACTGTCCAGTCAAAGGTCAAACTTGACATCTCCCAAGCATTCTGCAAGATGGTTTCAGGCAAAAGCTAACCCTTCTTACCAACAGTAATCACTTTTAGTCTTTTTTAATGAGATACTATGGGAAGTTTCAAAGCCTTTACCTTTTCCTACATAGAGCCCTTTAAAAATGAAGCACTGAATAAAGGAAGCATGGCCAGGCATGGTGGCTCACGCCTGCAATCCCAGCACTTTGGGAGGCCAAGATAGGAGGATCCCTTGAGGCCAGAAGTTAAAGACCAGCCTGGGCAATGCAGCATGACTCTGTCTCTACAAAAAATGAAAATATTAACTGGCCAAGACTGTGTGTGCCTGGAGTCCTAGCTACTTAGGAGGCCAAGGCAGGAGAACTGCTTGAACCCAGGAGGATTTTGAGGTTACAGTGAGCACTCTAGCCTAGGCAATAGAGAGAGATCCTATCCTTTTTTTTAAAAAAAAAAAAAAAAGCATTTTATGTTTTTTTTTTTTTTTGAGACGGAGTTTAGCTCTTGTTACCCAGGCTGGAGTGCAATGGCACGATCTCGGCTCACCGCAACCTCCGCCTCCCGGGTTCAGGCAATTCTCCTGCCTCAGCCTCCTGAGTAGCTGGGATTACAGGCACATGCCACCATGCCCAGCTAATTTTTTGTATTTTTAGTAGAGACGGGCTTTCACCATGTTGACCAGGATGGTCTCGATCTCTTGACCTCGTGATCCACCCGCCTCGGCCTCCCAAAGTGCTGGGATTACAGGCTTGAGCCACCGCGCCCGGCCTCTTTTTTTTTTTTTTTTGAGATGGAATCTCCCTCTTGCCCAGGCTGGAGTGCAATGGCATGATCTTGGCTCACTGCAATCTCTGCCTCCCGGGTTCAGGCAATTCTCCTGCCTCAGCCTCTCGAGTAGCTGAGATTAGAGGTGCCCACCACCAGGCCCAGCTAATTTTTGTGTTTTTAGTAGAGATGAGGTTTTACCACATTGGTCAAGCTGGTCTTGAACTCCTGACCTCTGGTGATCCACCTGCCTCGGCCTCCCAAAGTGCAGGGATTATAGGCGTGAGCCACCATGCCTGGCCGCATTGTATGTTTCTTTTACTTTTTTATGCCTCATCCAAATTGGGGGAAAAAAAAATTAGTAGTGGCTGAGGACTTTTAAAAAGTCATTAATTTTAATCATGGGATGTTTTTCAAAGTTTTGGTACATGTATATAATTTTCATTCTTTTTGAAAAGTTTCAAAAACATATGGTTATAGCACAGAAAATTATGTAAGAACAGCTAGCATAAATAAATGTAACATGTTTGTGAACTTTTATATTATTCATTTCTTCTTCTTCTTATTTTTTGAGACAGTCTCGCTCTGTTGCCCAGGCTGGAGTGAAGCAGAGTGATCTTGGCTCACTGCAACCTCCATCTCCCGGGTTCAAGTGATTCTCGTACCCCAACCTCCCCAGTAGTTGGGATTACAGGTGCATGCCACCATGTCCAGCTAATTTTTTCTATTTTTAGTAGAGACGGGGTTTCACTGTGTTGCCCAGGCTGGTCTTGAAGTCCTGAGCTCAGGCAATCCGTCTGCCTCGGCCTCCCAAAGTGCCAGGATTAGAAGCGTGAGCCTGGCCTGTAAACTTTTACTTTATTATTATTTTTTTTATTTTTTGAGATGGAGCCCTGCTCTGTCACTTAGGCTAAAGTGCAGCGGCGTGATCTTGGCTTCCTGCAACCTCCAGCTGCCGGGTTCAAGTGATTCTCTGGCGTCAGTGTCTGAGTAGCCAGTATTACAGGTGTGGGCCACGACGCCAGGATAACCTTTTTTGGTTTTTAGTAGAGATGGGATTTCGCCATGTTAGCCAGGCCAGTCTCAAACTCCTGACCTCAGGTGACCCACCAGCCTCAGCCTCCCAAAGTGCTGAGATTACAGGTGTGAGTCACCATGTCCGGCCTCAACTTTTAAATGTAAACTTTTTCCTTTAGATATTTCTTATATAAAAGAAATGAAATATACATCCTTTTTTAAAAAAAACCTGCAAACTTTAGAAGACTGAGAGGCAAAGAAAAATAATTTTAAAGACCAAAATAGGCCGGGCGTGGTGACTCATGCTTGTAATACCAGCACTTTGGGAGGCCAAGGGGAGCGGATCAAGAGGTGAGGAGATGGAGACCATCCTGGTGAACATGATGAAACCCCGTCTCTACTAAAAATACAAAAAAAAAAAAAAAATTAGCCAGACATGGTGGCAAATGCCTGTAGTCCCAGCTACTTGGGAGGCTGAGGAAAGAGAATCACTTGAACCTGGGAGGTGGAGGTTACAGTAAACCAAGATCATGCCACTACAATCCAGCCTGGGCAACAGGGTGAGACTCTGTCTCAAAAAAAACAAAAACAAAAACAAAAATGTGTAACCTTTATGGGATTCTCAGAAGCAAGTAATGTAGCACTTTGGTTGGATTCCTAGGCTATCCATTCCATTACTCTTCTTTATTACTCAATAACAGAAACTGACTGTTACACATGGACGGTGATGCTCCACACATTTTATCAAATACCTCCACCAACTTTAGGCAGCTGCTGTGCAGTCAGTTACTAATTTTCTGTCTTGCTTGTTCACATATTTCAACATGGTCTATTTTAAAAAGCAAGCAGAATTCTTCAAACATAACAAATTTCTTTTTAAAATATGCTTTGCACTACTTTAGAAGATGAGGAAGAAAGGAGTGTTTTGTTTTCACAGTATTTTAGGGAAGGAAAGGGACCTTCATTTTACAGGTGAGGAGGGAAGTTACCCAAGGTGGTGCTAGAATGGCCAGGAAGCCTGATGTCTACTGTTGACTAGGGCCTTCTGCCTGCTAACGTCAAGCGCGTCACGGGCCTTCATACCTGGGCTGTGTCAGGGAGCCTTGTAGTACTAAAGCAGTATGGGATATGCACTGCGAGCGGATGTTGCTCAGAAGCTGGCTGACTGCTGGCTGGCTGCACATCTGAAAAGGAAAGGTAGAAGTGAGGCCAACAAGAAACAAACAGTACAATTTCATGCTGTAAAAACAAGACATAAAAGAGACGGACCATCAGTAAACAGTGTGCTTTCTTCTTCCTTTATTCTTAGTGAATGAGCTACAGAAACTATGCCTTCCAAGTGTACTGCCTCTGCAGAAATTGATGTCAGAGAAGAAAGAAGCGTAAGTTTGAGATGACCAAACTCACACTTAAGAACCTTGGAGGTCAGGCACAGTGGCTCATACCTGTAATTCCAGCACTTTGGGAGCCTAAAGAGAGAGGATCACTTGAGGTCAGGAGTTTGAGACCAGTCTGGCCAACACCGTGAAACCTCATCTCTAGTAAAAAAAATACAAAAATTAGCTGGGTGTGGTGGGAGGTGCCTGTAATCCCAGCTACTCAGGAGGCTAAGGCAGGAGAATTGCTGGATCCCAGGATGGGGAGTCTACAGTGAGCAGAGTTAGTGCCACTGCACTCCAGCCTGGCGACAGAGCGAGACTCCAGCTCAAAAAACTTTGGAGACATGCCCACTCGTTTTGCTTCTGCTAAGGTTAAGTACAACAAAGCCCAGAGAGGGCCCTTTACAAATATGAAACTAAACAGTGGACAACCAATCAGTTTCTAACATAAAACTACAATCGGAGAGTGAAATAGGAATAATATGAGAAAACAATGAAGCCAGTCCAAAGAAGTGATGGGAAAAGGGTGGCTTACTGAGTTTCAGCCCAGCCTTGCAACTCATTATTTATGTGATTCTGGACAAGTACTTAGTCTCTCTGAGGGTCATTTGCTTATTCATACAATGGAAAAAGAATGCCTATCATATACCGGGCTTCACTGCACTAACAGAGCAACCGTGCTGATACGAGCCAATGTAGACCTGGCACAGTCCTCGGCAATCTACAGAGGCTCCATCATGTTGCTCACTATAACAAACCAGCAGAATTATCAGGGCCATGTGAGTCATTGGTGGTACCCAGCTACAGTGTGGTCAAGAGAGGACTCTGAAGCCAGGCCACCTAGGTTCACACCTTGGCCCTGTCTCCACTAGAATGTGAGTTCCACGAGGGCAGGAATCTCTGTTTTGTTCACTGACACATCCTAAGTTCCCAGTGCTGTGCCTGGCACATGGCAAATGCTCAATAATGACTTTACTGATTGAATAAATAAATGAATGCCCCAGGGGTGGGGATAATCAAACAATAACTAGGCTTTTTTAAAATTTTAAGTGAATCCATTTCACATTACCTTTGGTGCTTTTTTTTCCTCTATTCCAACTCGGTCGAAACACTCGATGAGGTAGTTCAGCATATCTGTCTCTTTGCAGGTTTCAATGGTGAAATGGTCACTGTAGGAATCCCAATTACTTGCTCCACCAGAGGCTCCCAAACTTTGGAGAGGATACAAAGAAATTATGACTCTTATCTCTCAATTATTTTTGGCAGAGTTTGCGTTTCTGCAGCAGAAAGCCTGTTAGGATCCCTGCACACATAACAAAGCACAAATACCCATGCGGCCGAGATTCACCCTGACTGCTTGTTTCACCTGCTCCAAATCCAACAAGAGCAACTTTTGGTAACATTTTAGGGACCTGAGAAGGGGGCTTTATTTTCCTGCAGATGGCGACTTATAAAACCAGAAGCACTAGGAACTGCTACCAAGTGTTAAGCATTGGAAGAGACATCACAGGCACTTTAACCAAAAAGAAGGGCATCACTCAGAGACCTGTAGGTTAAAGCCAGACACTATGCTGCTGCTGTAATCAAACTGTTTAGAAGTTACAAAGGACTAACGAAATAGCCCTCATCTTTGTGACTTCTACTGTAGATCTCAAAAGCCCTCATCTAGCACCTGGCAAGAGAGCCAGAGCTTAAGAAAACTGTCCAGTTAGGAGGAGACATGAACGCATTTGCTATCAACATAAACAACTCCAAAACTATGAGTGAAAAAGGCAAAGCAGTATAGTAAATGACAAAACAAAAATATTGTACTAGGAGTAACTAGACGTGGGTTCTAGTCTCAACCCCATTGTTCACTTGTTACCTGAACCTAGAACCTCTATCTCTTCTGCAGTTGAGCTTCAGTGAAGTAACGTGGAGGTGCTTTGTAAAACATAAGCAGCATACGATGTGAAGTACTGTGACGTTAGTAATAACTATCCTCTGAGAGAAAAACCAAACATAATCACAAGGGTTAAATTTGAGGAAATTAAACAAAGTGAAAATCAACCATTGACAGGCCACATAACGAATCTGGTGTTTAACTCACAAACTGATTTGATATACATAAAAGATACAAGGGGATTAATTACAACAAAGGAAAAAGTACAGAGTACTAAAATGAAGGAAATGAGAAAACATAAACTTAGCCAAAAAAACTACATACAGAAATGATAAAGAATGGGAACATGGCCAGGTACAGTGGCTCATGTCTGTAATCCAGCACTTTGGTAGGCCAAGGCAGGAGGATCACTTGAGGCCAGGAGCTGAAAACCTGCCTGACCAACATGGCGAAACCCCTTTCTACTAAAAATACAAAAATCAGTTGGGCGTGATGGTGCACATCTGTAATCCCAGCTACTTAGGAGGCTGAGGCACAAGAATCACTTGAACCTGGAGGAGGTTGTTGTAGTGATCTGAGGTCATGCCACTGCACTCCTGCCTGAGTGACAGAGAGAGACGCTGTCTCAAAAAAAAACCAGAAAAACTATGGGAATATCAGGAGATCCATCTCGACTTCAACCCAGAACACATAATTAATGTCTAAAAACTAACAGGACCAAGAGGAATTGACACGCTTTACAGAAAGACAGATATGTGTAACTAATTTTGGAACACGTTTGGAACACGTGCCACATAACAAAGTTTAAGTCTATGATGGACCACATATACCATAATGGTCCCACACGGTTACAAAGCCACACTTTTACCGTATCTTTTCCATATTTAGATATGTCTAGATATACAAATACTCACCATATGTTCTAATTGCCTACAGTGTTCAGTACACTAACATGTTGTGCAGGTTCTTAGCCTAACAGAAACAGGCTATATACCACATAGCCTAGGTGTATAGGACACTGTGCCATCTAGGTTTGTGTAAGTCTACTCTATGATGTTCACACAATGACCAACCTGCCTAACGATGCATTTCTCAGAATGTAGCCACTTCGTTAAGGGACACATGACTGTATGCACAGAACTGTCCTTAGACTTTTGGAAAAATACAGATAATTGACCTTGGAATACTGACCGGGTGCAGTGGCTCATGCCTATATTATTCCCAGCACTTTGGGAGGCTAATGTGGGTGTATCACTTGAGGTACAGGAATTCAAGACCAGCCTGGTCAACACGGTAAAACCCCATCTCTACTAAAAATGCAAAAAAATTAGCTGGGCATGGTGGCATGTGCCTGTAATCCCAGATACTCCGGAGGCTGAGGCAGAAAAATCTCCTGAACCTGGGCAGTGGAGGCTTCAGTGAGCTGAGATTGCACCACTGCACTCCAGCCTGGGCAACAGAGCGACTATGACATTGGCTGGGCACAGTGGCTCATGCCTGTAACCCCGGCACTTCTATGAGGCCAAGGTGGGCACATCACTTGAGGTCAGGAGTTCAAGACCAGCCTGGCATCAGAAAAAAAAAAACAAAAACAGTAAGTATGATATTAAAGTATTTCAGTAAGAAGGTGAAAACAATGCTACTTTGAAATCCAAGGCATTCGGCCCAGAATCTAGTAAATTTGAACTCCCGCAACCTATAAAATAGGTCTGACAGGTGGAAAGGAAGGGAGGCAATGAGACTGAGAAGGAACAAGGCAGCCAACTCCCTGCTGACTGAGCAGGTAACTAAGCCACCCACAAAGCACCTCACCACAGTCATGACAAGGTTGGGCAGGTCAGTGTGGGATCCCTTAAAAAACAAAGGCAGGCCAGGTGTGGTGGCTCACGCCTGTAATTCCAGCACTTTGGGAGGCTGAGGCGGGCGGATCACAAGGTCAGGTGTTCAAGATCAGCCTGACCAACATGGTAAAACCCTGTCCCTACTAAAAATAGAAAAATAGGCCGGACATGGTGGCGTGCGCTTGTAATCCCAGCTACTCAGGAGGCTGAGGAAGGAGAATCACTTAAACCTGGGAGGCAGAGGTTGCAGTGAGCTGAGATTACATCACTGCACTCCAGCCTGGCAACGGAGCAAGACTCTATCTCAAAAAAACAAAAACAAAAAAACAAAGGCAATTAATTACTGTGTCTTTTTTTTTTTTTGAGATGGAGTCTCACTTTGTCACCCAGGCTGGAGAGCAGTGGTGCAATCTCCACTGAATGCCACCTCCACCTCCTGGATTCAAGCGATTCTCCTGCCTCAGCCTCCCAAGTAGCTGTGACTACAGGCGCTCACCACCACGTGCAGCTAACTTTTGTATTTTTGGTAGAGATGGTATTTCGCCATGTTGACCAGCATGGTTTTGATTTCCTGACTTCAAGTGGTCCACCCGCCTCAGCCTCCCAAAGTGCTGGAATTACAGGCATGAGCCACAGTGTCTGGCCAATTATTGTGTCTTTATAGCAGCTAATTTTTTGGTATACTTTGTTAACTAATGGCAGGATCTGCTATCTGCTGATTGGCTTGATAACTGAAAAGTGAGTACAGTAATAAAGCACAGGAAAAACACATACAAAGACAAACGGAAAAAGTCATAAACCAGTGGGAAAAGTGCAGCGAACCCCGTGAAAGGGAAAAAATATATATCTATATTTGCTTGTAGCAATTTTAGTTAGTTTCAAGCTACCTGTGATCCCTCCTCTGCCTCTGACATTCATGACTCCATGACTATATTCACTGCACTTTGTAAGGATGAACTTTCCTAAAACAGGTTTGTACCTACACACAATTGAGGGTAATTTTCTCATGAGCAGCTCTTGCAGATGACAATGAAAATAACTCGGCCTCATGTTTAAAATGAAAATCTGAAACTCTATTTCTTGATAATAAGCCCCATTTTTCTCACATCTTTACATTTCTGGGAAGAAAACCATCTTTTTATAAATTTTTTTATTTTTTTTGAGACGGAGTCTCACTCTGTCACCCAGGCGGGAGTGCAGTGGTGCGACCTCAGCTCACTGCAACCTCCACCTCCCAGGTTCAAGGGATTCTCCTGCCTCAGTCTTCTGAGTAGCTGGGATTACAGGCACATGCCAGCATGCCTGGCTAACTTTTGTAATTTTAGTAGAGATGGTGTTTCACCATGTTGGCCAGGATGGTCTTGATCTCCTGACCTCATGGTCCACCTTGCCTCGGCCTCCCAAAGTGCTGGGATTTCAGGCGTGAGCCACCACGTCAGGCAAAAAGCATCTTATGTTTAATGTCAATAGGTCCTTGCCAGCTGCCAGGCCTCAGTCTGATGCAGCACCCACACCCAGCATGTGAGCATGCATATGAACTCAGCATGCTTGGATGGCACTGGCTCATGTAACTGCCACTGAAATTACTTCCATTCCTATCAATACGTCCCACTTCATTTTAACTTAAATTTTATACCTTCACTGTCACTTGATGTTTGTCCCCTCCAAATCTCATGTTGAAATGTAATCCCCAGTGTTGGAGTGGGGGCCTAGCGGGAGGTGACTGGATCATGAAGGCACAGATCCCTCACAATTGGCTTAGCACCATCCCCTTGGTGAGTGAGTTTTCACTCAGTTCACGTGAGATCTGGTTGTTTAAAAGAGTCTGGGACATCCTGCTCCTCTCTGTTTCTCCTGCTCTTGCCATGTGACCTGCCTGCTACCCTCCTTTCACTTCCTGCCATGACTGGAAGCTTCCTGAGGCCCTCACGAGAAGCAGATGCTGTTGTCATGTTTCTTGGACAGCCTGAAGTACTGTGAGCCAATTAAACCTCTTTTGGCTATAAATTGCCCTTTCTGTATGGCAGTGCAAATGGACTAACATGGTGATCACCAGCCAGGCACCAAATAAGCTTACTCTGAAGACGAGAGGAGAGGAAAAGTGAAACAAAACTTTAACCAAGCGGGAAATGTAGCATCAACCTCAGTATTTGTCAATATGTTTCAAAATTTTAACATCAATCCTAAAGGTGCCAGGGTAAATCATGATCACAAGTAAGAAAAGTGGCCAGTTTCACTAACATAAGCATAAATGTCAATGGTCAAAAACTGATTTACAAGAATTTTTAGATTTAAATTGAAAGGGGTAGATTCAAATTTTGAGTGTGATACTGAAGGAGAAAGCGGTATATAGTTTGCATGCATACATTTATGCTATGAAGAAATATTTCTACACTTTGGGAGGCTGAGGTAGGTGGATCACTTGAGGTCAGGAGTTCGAGACCAGCCTGGCCAATGTGGTGAAACCCCCAACTCTAATTAAAAACAT